GACATGACACGGGAAAGGAAAACAATGAGACACACCTGGCAGACTGGAGAACAAAGAAGGGAAGGAGCCAAGCTCCTCCTGGGACCTGTCCCTAAAGACAGCCAGTTTTCTACTGTCCTATAGGCCAATCCATATTTATGTCTTTTTTTTTTTAAGACAGAGTTCACTATGTATCCCCAACCAACCTAGAACTCAGAGATCCTCCTGTCTCCGCCTCTAGAGGGCTGAAATTAAAGAAGTGAGCTACCACACCCAACTTGGTTTTGTTTTTTGAAATAGGGGTTATTTATTTATTTGAGACAGGGTTTCTCCGTGTAGCCCTGGCTGTTCTGGAACTTGTTTTGTAGAGAAGGCTGGCCCCAAACTCAGAGATTTGCCTGCCTCCGCCGCCCGAGTGCTGGGACTAAAGGCATGCACCACCAGGACTTGCTGGGTGGGAGGTGGGGTTATGCATGGGGCTAGTCTGGAACTCACTGTGTAGTCAAAGTTGCCCTTAAATTTCTGCCCCTTTTCCCAGAGCTGGGGCATGTGTCATGAAACTTGGCTCCCATTCCTATGTCTTTGCTAATAGAAGTGGGGGGTTTTGTTTTTTGTTTTCCTTCTACTTTGTAGGAAGGAGTTACTCTGGCCTCACTAGCTTCACCCCTGGCTTCCGAGCACCCACCTCCTTCCTGTCCGGCTCCTCACTCTTTTGTTCAGTTTAACAGAAATCTGAGCTCAGTCTAGCTGAAGGAACTCTCTTTGGGGCTCCATCCGCTACCAGCCTTCTCTTCTTTGACAGGACTTAACTTGGCTTTTCTGTTGATTTTTCTGGCTCCACTTTCCAGGTCTCTACTCAGCCCCCAACCCTGGAGAAAGCACCATCACCTCCTGCTGACATGCCCACTTACCTTGTCCTTCTAGCTCTTCTCTCATCCCGTTTATAAGAAAAGGACTGGCAGGCTCGGGCTCAGGAGTGGACTTACCCAGGATAAGTGGCACAGCAAGGGCGGCTAAGAAGAGGACATCCATTCTGGATTCTGCACTACCACTGTGAAAGTAAAGAGGAAATTGCTCTGTTTCCCACCACACTTACCCCGCCTCCCACCCCCCCCCTGCTGTGAAGCTGGGAGGGAGCAGTGATTCTTCTCCCAGGGGACAGAAATCCCCGCCTACTTTCTCAGCAGATCTGTTACACTGCTGCTGGACTGAGGGGCAAGCCTCTTAGATGGATGGAAACTTGTTACTCCTGCAGAGTCCCTAGCTCTAGATTAGGTCCACTCGGGGACTCCCTCTGCTGGGACCAAAGTTTATACTCTGCCCTCCTTCCCGAGGCTCACAGGTGTTCGCCTGCCTGGCAACCCTTAACTTACCTTTGGCGTGCAGAGTTGCTCTTTACCTGTAATCTCTCCTCACAGGACGTTTTCTAGACAGTAAGTAAATAGTGCCTCTTCTCTGACTGCCTTGGCTATGGGGATGGAAGTGATGTTTTTTTGTTTTGTTTTTAAATTTTATTTACTTATTATGTATACAACATTCTACCTCCTTGTATGCCCACAGGCCAGAGGAGGGCACCAGATCTTATTACAGATGGTTGTGAGCCACCATGTGGTTGCTGGGAATTGAACTCAGGACCTCTGGAAGAGCAGCCAGTGCTCTTACCCTCTGAGCCATCTCTCCAGCCCCCGGAAGTGATGTTTATGAACCATTGTTTGACTCCCAAATCTCCTTAGCACTGCTGCTGATAAACATCTCATAGCTGTCAGGGCCAAAGGAAACTCCAATTTCCCAGCCTCCAAAAGGCTGTTCATATATCCAGAAGTGAGCTAGCTCATCCTGGACTATTGGAGTATTTCTGGAAGTTAGATAAAAGCCAGCATTCCACAGGAACTCGTGAAACTGGTTCCCATCTGACAAACGGAGTCATTTCCCTTTCCTCTGGCAGAAGGGATGTATGGATACCGGTGACACCTACCAGTTAACCAAATCCTATGCTGGCCCCCATGGTACCTCAGTATCAGAAGTACCTGTTACACATTTCAGAGTCCATACTAACATCCTAGCCTTTCTCACCTCCTTCTCTCCCCTATACCCCTCCAGTTCATGGGCTCCCCACTCCCACAGCTGCTCGTTTTTTTTATAACCCAACCCTTCTCACTATGCTTGGCTTTTGCTATTCTCATTATTCTTGCTCCATTCTCTACCTCCCATGAGTCTCCCTCATCTTGCAGAGAGCCCTGTCCATGTCCAGTCTACTTTCTCTCTCTTCTCTGAACTCTTCCAGATGCCTCCGGCTGTTCCTCTTTCCAATAAAAACCTTAACCGCTGGCAGTTTCTGTACTGTATGCATGCATACTCTATGCATACAATAGCCAAGGCCAGTTATTTCTTGCCATTTTGTGTTGACTTCACCCCTTTCCCCCAACTTTTTGGACACAGGATGGAAGAAGAGAGGAAGCAAACACCATCTTCTCCTCTGCTCCCACTTTCAGACACACGGCACCTTCCTCATCATTCTGTCTGCTCCTGTATTTCCTATTTTCATTCCGTTCAATTCAGAAGCAGTAGCGTATTTATTTGGCACAATGAACTATTAGTCTGTTAGGCAATTGAGACTTCACGGACAAGACACTGCCGGGCGTGGTGTCGTGGCCCTATGATACCAGCATTTGGGAGGCAGAGCTCTGTGAGTTCGAGGCCAGCCTGGAATACAGAGTGAGTTCCTGGACAGTCAGGGCTGCATAGAGAGATCCTGTTTCAAGAAACCCAAACCATGCCGGGCGGTGGTGGCGCACGCCTTTAATCCCAGCACTCGGGAGGCAGAGGCAGGCGGATCTCTGTGAGTTCGAGACCAGCCTGGTCTACAGAGCTAGTTCCAGGACAGGCTCCAAAGCCACAGAGAAACCCTGTCTCGAAAAACCAAAAAAAAAAAAAAAAAAAAAAAAAAAAAAAAAAAAAAAAGAAACCCAAACCAAACCAAACAAACAAAAGACCACACACACCAAACAACAATAAAATATATAGAGAGAGTAGGAGAAGTAAGATGACATATGACTACAAAAACGTTCCAGATAAATGACTATTTTCCTTACATTTTGGCATAAATCTGTAAACTTTGTAAAACAAGATACAAACCAAATACATAAAGAAAATAAAGTATATTTTAAAATCTCACAAACAGTGGGTGTGGTGATACACATCTTTAATCCCACACTCGGGAGGCGGGGGCTGGTAGATAAGGCTAGCCTGGTCTACAAGTGAGTTTCAGGACAGTCAAGGCTGCACAGAGAAACCCTGTCTGGAAAAACCAAACCAAAGAAAAATCAAACTACTTAAACAAAACTCCACATACATAAGAAATACTTGCTCAGCCTCGAAAGTGAGTCCTTGGAGCACTCTGAGTCCCTGGAGCTCTGTGAGTCCCTGGAGCTCTGTGAGTCCCTGGCGCACTCTGAGTCCCTGGAGCCCTGTGAGTCCCTGGAGCACTCTGAGTCCCTGGAGCACTCTGAGTCCCTGGAGCTCTGTGAGTCCCTGGAGCACTCTGAGTCCCTGGAGCACTCTGTGAGTTCTTGGAGCACTCTGAGTCCGTGGAGCTCTGTGAGCCCCTGGAGCACTCTGAGTCCCTGGAGCACTTTGAGTCCCTGGAGCTCTGTGAGTCCCTGGAGCATGCTGAGTCCCTGGAGCACTCTGAGTCCCTGGAGCACTCTGAGTCCCTGGAGCTCTGTGAGTTCCTGGAGCACTCTGAGTCCCTGGAGCTCTCTGAGTCCCTGGAGCACTATACAAGTGTCTGTGGAATCACCACTCACAAGACAGGTTTTCCAGGCTGCTCTCTACAGCCAGGCCATGTTCCATTGACAGCTCACAGAGAGAAAGAAGGACTATCTTGTCTGTATTTCCCCTAACTCAGCCTGCTGAACTCAGAAGCAGGGCACACTGACCAGGATGTTCCCATCCTCTCAACTATGTGACAAGATGTGCCTGGTGTCTTTTAACAAAAACCTGTTTCTCAGTTTCTTCCTGGAATTTATGAAAAAAAAAAAGTGTAAAACATCCTCCGTATGAGTGGCATACATGTATTAAATAAAAAATCACTTCCAGGAAGCCTGGTTTTCTTCAAACAACCTCTGTAGTTTGCTGCTGCTTTGATTACACTCTCAAAAACAACTCTCCAGATCTGATCTTGTCGTAGGATTCTTTTGCTCACGCATCCTCCTAAGGACAAATCTGTCCTTACACAAATGATGATTCATTCTCGCACGACCCCCGCCCTCCACAAACACTCCCCAGCTTGAGGAAAAGACACCACTCAAGTTTATATTTCAGAATATAAATAGAGGAAGTGTGACATCAAGCGAACAAAGCGGCCCAGGGTGGGGGTGGGGGCTCCCGCCCCCAGCTGCCCAGTCATGGGGGCTGCTGTGTTTTTCCCCTCCGTCTCTGTGCTCTCGGTGCTTTTTGACTCCTGGATTCTTTCTAAACATTTTTCTAATATTTCTAATATTTCTCTCCTGGCTCCTCTTGCTTCTCTGACTCTGTCGTCACAGAATACTTCATTTGAAACAGATTATACCATATAATTCCCTTACGAGGCTGCCCAAAGAGCTCCAATTTCTAAGACCAACTTTGATCCCTTAGTGTGCTTCTCTGGGTCATTTCCTCTAATTCAAGTAAGAACAATGCCCATCCCTATCTTCTTACAATCCCTATCCTGGGCTGTTTTTTTATATTTGTCTCTAGATTCAAACAGGATCTTTCCCCGCCAAAGCTCTTCTAGAAATAGGTATGGTTGTTATTACTCTTCTCCACAGAGTAATGAAAAGAAACCAGGCACAAACGAACCCAGGAATCCTTGCCCTGATTGGGCCCAGTCCCGACCCACTCTTCTGGAGCCACTCCCAGTACCAAGTGGAGGGCTCAGAGGATTGACAGACTACAACTCCCAGAAGGCCGTGCTGCCACGACCCCGCCTCTGCAGTTCCTCCCCATCAAGTATTCATTGGCCTTCCGGGGGTGGGGATTAGATGGGAGGTGGCCATGGGGCAGCGACCGGGGGTTGTTCCCTCTTCGGCTTCCGTAGACGAGGTCGGGCGGACCTTCGTCCGGGGTTTCGGTGCCCCCCCTTCCCCTTCCCCGGGGTCTGGGGGTGACATTGCACCGCGCCCCTCGTGGGGTTGCGTCGCCGCCCCACACGGACTCCCCCCCAGCGCGCTGCTCCCTTTCGCCTCCCTTGGCCGGGGCTCCCTCCCGCCCCCAGCTGCCCAGTCATGGGGGCTGCTGTGTTTTTCGGGTGCACCTTCGTCGCGTTCGGCCCAGCGTTCGCTCTTTTCCTGATCACTGTGGCTGGAGACCCGCTTCGGGTTATCATCCTGGTCGCGGGGTGAGTAGCGAGTGGTGGAGACGGGGCCAACCGTAGAGAAAATGATGCGGAAAGAGCTGGAGGAACTGGGGCGAGCATGGGAGCCTGAGTTGGGGGACAGAAGTAGGAAAAGGTTGGACAGGGTCAAATCGTGGTCTAGGCGATTTTCCGCAGTCGACTTCCGCCTTCCAGGGATTTCATAGATTCCTCCTGTAGTCTTCTCGGCAGCGCCAGAGAAGGCCCAAGGCTGAGAGTAGTGAGGGGGCTGTGCTGACCTCGGCTAGCCAGGACCCAGGAATGGATACCCTGCCCGTCCGCCCGTGCCGGCGTACACTTTCTCTCATCTCACTGAAGACTCTGACCAGATTTTTTCCCCTCTGCTGCTTGCAGATTCCTACAGATGATTCTGTTGGTGGAGACACTTATCCTACCTGGTCCCTGTCTCCCTGACCATCCGGAAGTCTACCTTCCACTTTTCATGCTGCAGCCTTGGCTGGTTCCCTCCTTGATTTTTCTGGCTGCCCCTATACTTGCCTCTCATTGTCCTTGTGTTTCCTCAGAGCCTTTTTCTGGCTGGTCTCCCTGCTCTTGGCCTCTGTGGTCTGGTTCATCTTGGTCCATGTGACAGACCGGTCAGATGCCCGGCTCCAGTATGGCCTCCTGATTTTTGGTGCTGCTGTTTCTGTCCTTCTACAGGAAGTGTTCCGCTTTGCCTACTACAAGCTCCTTAAGTAAGGACCGGGGTGGTCTGGAAGGGAGAGGGGACAGTGGTGTGCATTGTGGGAAGTGGGCCAGCCCTTGGGTGGTAGTTGGAATAAGGGGCGTTCAAGGGAGGATCTTGGAGGGAAAAGAACATCCCTGCCCTCTCTTATATTTCCTCTCTCTTATCCCAGGAAGGCAGATGAGGGCTTAGCATCACTGAGTGAGGACGGAAGATCGCCCATCTCCATCCGTCAGATGGCTTATGGTGAGCCAAGGGAGAGGGACCAGAGGAGGGAGTTGATCACCCCCTCCTCCCCTTCAGGGTAATGTGCTAAGTGTTTCTCTTCATCCTTGACATCCAAGGAGAGGCAGTGTGGAGTCTGGAGGGAGAGTAGGTATGGTGGTTCTCACTGGGCACGGGAGAGGTGCTGGTAGAAGTGCTGTGGTAGCCTTGGACGTTGATGAGCGCCTCCCTCCCCCCAGTTTCTGGTCTGTCCTTCGGTATCATCAGTGGTGTCTTCTCTGTTATCAATATTTTGGCCGATGCCCTTGGGCCAGGTGTGGTTGGGATCCATGGCGACTCACCCTATTACTTCCTGACTTCAGGTAAGGCTCCCCTCTAACCTCGCCTTTATGCCCTGTCCATCCCCAGCCCCATCTGACCTTCCCTGGGAAGCTCCTCTGGCTCAGCATCTCAGGAGACTGGGAGAAGGTCAGGGATGCATCTCCTCCCCATCTCCCTCCTTGCAGCCTTTCTGACAGCAGCCATTATCCTGCTCCATACCTTTTGGGGAGTTGTATTCTTTGATGCCTGTGAGAGGAGACGGTACTGGGCTGTGGGCCTGGTAGTCGGGAGTCACCTGCTGACATCAGGACTGGTGAGTTGGAGCTAGGGGCCTGAGTCAGGGAGAAGCATTTCAGAGTGAATGGGCTGGGTTATGTGTTCTCACTTCACGTCGTTAACTTACAGTTAACTTACGTTGGGTGGAGGCAGAAAGGTGAGCCTTAAAGGTCCTGTCACCTCAGCATCAATTAGGCCACCTGTTCTGGGGAGGAGCCTGCATGCTGAGTCAGACCAATGCAGATGACCTGAGGTGGCTAGGAGGAGCTGAAACCTTTGAGGAATCTAAAATCAAAAGCTCCCTTAGCTCCAGAATGTCTGGGGGAGGTTCGGTCAGAGGCACAAAATGAATGTTGGGGTTAGGTGCGGGGAGAATCTAATCTCTTTTCTATCCTCGTTCCCAGACATTCCTGAACCCCTGGTATGAGGCCAGCCTGCTGCCCATCTACGCAGTCACTGTTTCCATGGGGCTCTGGGCGTTCATCACAGCTGGAGGCTCCCTCCGAAGTATCCAGCGCAGCCTTTCGTGTAAGGACTGACTACCTGGACTGATCGCCTGACAGCTCCCATCTGCCTGTCCACTGCCCATGACTGAACCCAGCCCCAGCCCGGGTCCATTGCCCACATCCTCCGTCTCCTCGCTGATGTGTCCCGCTACCTTCCGGGTTTGGTGTTGTCCATTCGTGACCTGTAGTCTCTAAGCTTTCTCAGGAGCAGCCTGGGTGCAGCCCGTCAGGGACTGGTGGGTTTGAATCTGCATTACTCCCCACCACCTGGGGAGCCCCTTGTCCAGGTCTCCCCATGTGTCAGTGCTCTGCTCTCACCCTGCCCATGACTCACCCCGCTTCCCCTCTGCAGGCCGACGGCAGGAGGACAGTCGGGTGATGGTGTATTCTGCCCTGCGCATCCCACCCGAGGACTGAGGGAACATGGGGGGGACCCCTGGGCCTGGGGTACCCTCCCGATCTCCTCGTCCTGTATTTCTCCATCTCCAGTTCTGGACAGTGCAGGTTGCCAAGAAAAGGGACCTAGGTTAGCTGTGGCCCGGGTGATGAAGTTACTAGAGGCTCAAGGGAGATGAGTTTAGGTCTCCAGTATCTACTGCCCAGACTGGACATCTTGGTCTTTTTCTCAGGTCTGAAAAGAACCATTTTTGGTATGATAAAGACCCCAGAAATGCCTTTTTTTTTTAAAGTCGGGGGAGTGAGGAGGTCTATTGGGAGCCTCCTAACCTCCTTGGGCTGTATTTTTGCTCCTGAAACTGCTGATCATGGCTCATTTCTATCCCATTTCCCCCTTGGTCCCAGGCCCTGGGGAAAAGGAAGGAAGTGCATGTTTGGGAACTGGTACCACTGGAACTCATGTTTTAACGTCCGTGACCATCAGCACCCCTCCTCTCCCCAAGGTGAAGTGGAGGGTATTGTGGGGTTGGCCCACTCCATGGCAGTGCCCCTGGAGGAGTCAGGCTACCATGGCATCGCAGGCCAAGCGGGCAGACATTTTTCTAGTTTTTAACTGGGCTGTGGGAGGGCTGGGAGGGTTTCTACCACTGTACCATTTTTCTGCCGAGGGTGGGATGTCCCATCCTTTTAATCAAGGTGATTGTGATTTTGACTAATAAAAAGGACTTTATAATTGTGGGGGAACTTGGCTTTTAAGAGAGGGGATAATGGATTGAGATTTCCAGCCCTTGGTGGCTTCTGTCCATCCTCCTGTCTAGCCTGACAACAGTGTTCACTGATGGCAGCTTAGGTGTGATATCAGAGGCACCGGTGGAACTGAGTTGGCTTTCCCAGAAGTAGAGTGCCCCTGTCCAGGAAGAGGGTACAAGGAGTTAATCCCCCAGTTTTCTTTTTCTCTATGTCTGTCTCGGCCACCCAGAGGACAGAGGAACTCTCCCACCCTTGAAAGGCACAAAAGACAACCAGAAGTAAGGTTTTCAAACATATATTGAGCAAAAAAAAAAATAACTAAACTCACAGCAGCAGCTTTTTCCTAGACATGTATCTAGGTGTGTCTAGGGGAGGGGCCATGAAGGTGTGAGGTGAGGGACATCAGGGCACATTTCAGCTTCTTCATAGCTGCCTGTTAAAGCAGGGATCTCCTGACCTACGTGCTTTGGAAGGCCAGAGACTCCGCTCTTCCTTGAAGCCCTGGGTCCTTGCTTCTCTGGCGTATGTGTGCAGAGTTGGTATGGAGAAGGACACGTGTCTGCCTGCTACTTCTAGTCCAGCCCCTGCATGCCCTTAGAGAGACCCTTGATGGGTATGAGGGGGTTTATGCCTCTGTGGTAGCCCGTGCCGAAGTGAAGGCCACACTCTTCCTGTTTCCTAGCCTCTTCTTCCTGGAAGGGGAAGCAGTGGTTCATGGAAGTGACTAGTGTTGTAAGTGAAGGTTAGAGTAGGACAGGAAACACTTTTTAAAAACAACTCAATAAGTATCTGAATATGACCTTAAACTTTCTCCACCTCCTGAGTATTGGGATTACAAGTGTGTGCCAGCATGCCAGGTTTATGTGGTGCTAGGGATCAAACCCAGGACTGTGCATGCCAGGCAAGCACTCCACCAGCTGAGCTGCCTCCCCAGAGAATTTTTTTGAGGGGGGGTATCTCTATGAGGCTCTGGCTGTCTTGAATCTCACTCTGTGTAGACCAGGTTGGCCTTGAACTCAGAGATCTTCCTGCTTCTGCCTCCCAAGTGTTGGGATTAAAGGTGTATACCACCGTGCCTGGCTGAGAATGCATTTTTTGTTTGTTTTCGTTTTTTTTTTTTTTTTTTTGGTTTGTTTTTTCGAGACGGGGTTTCTCTGTGTATTTCAGGCTTTCCTGGAACTCATTCTGTAGACCATGCTGGCTTCAAACTCAGAGATCGGCCTGCCTCTGCCTCCCGAAATGCTGGGATTAAAGGTGTGCACCACCACTGCCCAGTCTCTGAGAATACTCTTTTAATAGAAAATAAACTACTTCAGGGATAGAAAGTAGGATCTTACCTAATTTTTTGAGCAATGAAATAAACAGCCAGCAGAAGGCAGAGACATCCAGCCAAGATTCCCACACCTAGGCCCAGCATCTCACCTGGGGGGGACACAAAGTTGTTAGTCTAGTCTAACAGGTGCTGGAATCCACACCCCCTTCACGGTTCCCTACAGGGCCATCTTACCTGTGGTATACAATGGTCCCGCTGTAGAGGAAGAAAACTTGGTTAGGGGAGTTTCAGAACATCTTCCTGTTTGGGAGCCCTGCTCCCACACCTGGAAAATGACCTCTGGGCATCCATGGCTAGGAGTGGTTCCCAGTCTAAGGAAGTGGGAATCCACCCTTGGCCTTTTCCTGCCTAGGGCTTGACTATTCCATGCCTCTTGAGTTCCTCAGTTTCCCCTCTCTTCCGAGCCCTGCCAGTCACCTTGGACGAAGGAAGCAAAGATGGTCCGCTGGTTGAGAGGCTGGGGGATTCTGTAGTTCTGTATGAGGGGCGCAAGTGGCTCCTCTTCCGTAGAGAACAGCGTCCCCTGAAGCTTATCTAACTGAGGAGCAGGAGTAGAAGTCACTCTGGGGCCTGGGCAAGGGTCTGAGTTAAAGCCGCTCTTAGCTTCTCCAGCACTCACCTGTTCCACTGAAATCTGGGCCCTTCTGTGGAAGACTGTCCAGAGGACACTCTGGTAGCAGGGTGGGGTCGTGAGTGAGCCGTTGTACCGGAAGAACTGCTCCAGCTGTTGGGGGAGCAGCTCTCTCACATTGAAGGGGGGCACTGAGGTTATCTGGTCTACGGAGAGCAGAGCAAGTGTTAGCCGCTCTGCACAGGGTTCCTCTGGGCAGAGTGCACAACTCCCTGCTCCTCCCCAAGCTTCTCTGCGGTTGAATTGTTTTGTTTATGTTTTTTTGAGACAGGGTTTCTCTGTGTAACAGTCCTATCTGTCCTAGAACTAGCTCTCATAGACCAGGTTGTTCTCGAACTCACAGAGAGCTGCCTGCCTCTGCCTCCTGAGTGCTGGGATTTAAAGCATGTGCTACCACTCTCTGTCTGACAAGGCTTCTCTGTGAAACAGTCCTGGCTGTCCTGTAGACCAGGCTGGCCTCTAACTCACAGAGATATGCCCACCTCTGCCTCTGGAGTGCTGGGATTGAAGGTGTGCACCACCAGCGCCCGGCTGCAGTTAAATTCTTACTAAGAGTTTTCGGGCTCACCTTTATGCCTTATTTCGTGCAGATGACTCAGAATGTGACGGTAAGCTGGGTTCTCAGCCTCGCCCACCTGTGGAGGAGTGTACGCTAGAGATGCAGCAGAATCATGTGTTTGGAGTAAGAGTGCACCAACAGAACAGGCCTGAGGAATGTGAGCAGAGAGCTGAGAGGAGTTAGGGGTTACTGACCTCAATTAAGATGCCTAGGACAGCCAGGCCCTGAGGCTTCTGAGCAGCCTCTCTCAGACTGCCATAGGACTCCGAGTCATAATGGACCACGTGGAGCTGTGGGGAGGGAGACGGGCATGAGTTCCTTCACATGTCTTCATTCTGTCCAGGGCTTTGACCTTGGTCACTACCTCAGTCCCCCAGTCTGAGTCTCTGCCCCCAAAGCTTTGCCTTGTCCCTTCAATACAACTTTTCAAGGGTTCACATCCATCCGTTCTCCAAGATCAACTGCATCCTGTATTCTAGTCGGTACCTCTGCCACCGTGGCTTCGCTGTTGATCTGGTGCTCAGAGCCCTCTTGGGATCCTTTCTGACCCCAGTGCAGGTGGAGCTGGGCTGCTGTGTATTTCCGGGGCAGTCCGCCCAGGTGCAGGGTAGAGGGCAGGGAGAGCTGCACTGTGAGGAAAGAGGTAGGGATTGTGGGGGAAAGGGGGCAGTTCCCACCCCGACTGGCCACCACCTGGGACACTTGGCTCTCCTCTTCCTTCTCCCTTCCAGAATCTCTCCTAGGTTGTGGCTTTTCTACCACAGTGGCCTCTCAGTGCTGTGACACTAACCTACACATTGAACTTGACCATAGACATTCAATCCCACCTTAGCTGCAAGAGCCCGAATCTCTGTTTGAGACAGGGTTTCTCTGTGTAGCCTTAGCTGTCCTGGAACTCGCTAGGTAGATCAGGCTGGCCTTGAACTCAGAGAGATCCATCTGCCTCTGTCTTTACCTCCCAAGTGCTGGGATTAAAGGCCTGCACCACCATCGCCCGGCTCTGAACCTCATTTGTCCACATTTATTAATGGAGTACTCTGAGATCTTGTGTGTTAGTTGTTTGTTTCCTCTGGCTCTTTTAAGGTCTGAACTGGAAGCTGCAGTTACTTGGAGTAGAGTCTTTTACCTGTATGGCCATTATTGTGTAGATCCAAAGGCTCAGTACCAGGCTGGTCATATCCATGGGGCTGTACAGCAGGCAGATCAGGATCAAATATCACACTGTCTGTTTGAATGTTGATGGGGGACTGGGCATCGCCTCCACACTCAGGGTAAGAGGTTGGCCAGTGGTCCTGACCATGTGGGCCTGGGGGAGGGGTAAGTTACCATGGGTCCATGTCCAGCCCCACAGCCCCAACCTCCCTTTAGTAACCCCTGACCCCATACACATTACAGTGGAAGCAGAAATCCACTTCTCGCCACCCAGTTGGCTGGGGCAGGGTGAGGTGGGAGTGCCCACAGCCCTCTAGGCTGCAGCGCCCCTCTCCGCCCCAGAGGCAGGGGGTGATTCTCCAGCTACCCTAATCAGTGTGTGTGTGTGTGTGTGTGTGTGTGTGTGCGCTCGCGCGCGTGTGCAGGGGTAGCTTTCACTTACCTGTAGTTTGAGAACAGTGAAGCACAGTGAGGGGAAATAGACAGAAAGCCTGAACACCCAGTGAAGCAGAATCGGAGGGGACCACTGACCCTAAACAGATGAAGTATCTCTGGGGCTCCCTATCAAGTAGTCTTGGGGTTCAGATATCCTTTCTGTCCTTCACTCCTTACTCTCACATGGACCTTGCCTTGACTCCAGCTAGAGAAGTTCAAAGGGATTGAGTTCCCCTGTCAGCAGTGTCACAGGATCCTGCCAGCTCTTCCTCCTGACCTCGGGTTTCAGAGACGGTTGGGGGTAGGACTGCTGGGGAGGAAGAGCCAGAAGAATGGCCGCTGAGCGCATCATGCCTCTCCCCACCCACTCTTCTTCATTTCCACACAGATTTGCGGAGGACTCGTGGGCTTTTCTGCTGAATCAGCAGACGTGGGATTTTTTTTTTTTTTTTTTAAATGCCTAGTGCAGGGTCTAGCAGCCACATGTATAAACCCAGGGCGTGTGTCTGTGTGTGCAATGCAGAAGAAGAGGGGCTAGCGTCTGAAGCTCAAGGAAAGCTCTTCCTCCCCAGGAAGTCTTCATGTCAGGTGAGGGGGGGGGGTGTCCCAGGGCGAAAGGAGTGCCAGGCGGCCGGGAGTTCTGCTCTCACCTTCATACGTCCAGTGGTGACCTGTAAGACAGTGATTTGGGCTGCGGCCAGAGCAGCCTGGAGCAGTGTCCTCTCCCTCCTGCGCCCCCCCTCTTCTGCTGCTTCCCCACACCCCCACTCCAGCAATTCCCAAGGGAAGTCATGAAACTGCGCATGTTGGTGGAAAGGTCGGGGGTCCTGTTTAAAATAACTGGCCAGGCTGTGCCCGTGGTTAATGAGTAGAGAGGGAGGAGCCATGGAAAGAGATAAAGCCAGGAGACTAAAATTAACCTGGATCCAAACGTGCAGGCGGCCCAACCCTTAGCTTTTCTCCAGCTGGAGCCAAGTTAGTGTAACTCTTAGAAGATCGGGGTGGAGTAGGGTAAGGGTGTGGGCAGAGGGCTGGAAGGGTAGAGAACAAAAGAGGACAGACGGAACAACGTCCAGCAGCGCTGCTGACGACAGGAGGGCTATCAGTCCTTTGCCTGGGTGCGCCACTGCATGAGCAAAAGCATATAACTTTCTATGAAAATTTTAATTCTTCCTTTCTGGTCTGACTGGCTCTGCAGGA